AGGTAACATGGATTTATTCCAAGGGAGGACTCCAAAGTCCTGAAATTAACTTCTGCCAAGCCTGTTCCAGCAAGCTAAACTTGGTTTTTGTCCCTCTCATTCGTCTTGAAAGTCCTTGGAGGACACAAGACTGTCCTTTGGTACTCCAGTGAGCACAGGGGCTTGCAGGACATCCCATGGAGAGTTAAGTAGCCATCCATTTTCTGTGCCTTGCAAAGCATTTCACAACTGAATGCTAAGATACAACAGCACTCTCCAATTAGCTGCCCAGTGGGGATGTGTGTAGGGACTAAAAAAACCATTTTGTCTTCTTTAAACCACCACTGAAGACACAAGGTCAGCTCTCTTTAAGCCATAACCATTTTAGCCCCTCTAAGCCTGAATTAACCCCAGGTCAGCACAGACTGTCGCCGCCCAGCTGCGACACAGCCAGTTAGCAGCGCGACAGAGTCACGACTGCACGTGGCTGGGCAGCAGCCACCCCCGTGGTGCCTTCCCCAGCCCACGGAGCTCCCTGGGTGCTGGGGATTTTGGAGACCAGCAGCACCAGTCACACAGAGCCACCGGCTGTGTCTGCAGTGGGGACAGGCTGGTCCCAGCTTCCCATCTTGGGACAGCCAGCATTATTGTCACTGGCTTTCTGCTCCACCTTGGAACGCTTTGCACAGGACTTCCCAGGCCCTGGTGAGGCTGGCGAGGATGGCGGCATGCCAGGGAGGCAAGAGTGATGCTCCCAAATGTGGTGGGACAGAGCCAGCCTGGGTTGTTTGGCAAAGGGAAAGCACCAAGTGTGGGTGACATTCACAGATGTCACCCTCATCCTTCTTGGGGACAGAGACAAGCCAAACCCAGGCTAGCAACATTGCTGGATTGTTTTCATAGGATCACAGAATGCTTTGGGTTGGGAGGGACCTTTAGAGGTTACCCAGCCCAACCCCCTGCAGTGAGCAGGGACAGCTTTAACCAGCCCAGGGTGCTCACAGCCCCGTCCAACCTGGCCTGGGATGTTTCCAGGGATGGGGCCTCCACTGCCTCTCTGGGCAACCTGTTCCACTGCTTCACCACCCTCAGTGTAAAAAATTTCTCACTTATACTCATTCTAAATCTATTCTTCTTTAGTTTAAAACCATTGCTCCTTGTCCCGTCACAACAGGCCCTGCTAAAAAGATTGTCCCCCATCTTTCCTACAGGCCCCCTTTAAGCACTGAAAGTCCACAATAAGGTCTCCCCGCAGCCTTCTCTTCTCCAGGCTGAACAACCCCAACTCTCTCAGCCTGGCCTCATAGGAAATGTGCTCCAGCCCGTGGATCTTTTTTTTTTTTTTTTGTCTTCCCAGGTTCCTGCAAGAATGAACTCTAGCTGAGCGCCCGAGGAATTGGAGCAAACCGAGTGCATCTGCAGCTCTTACTCTCCAGCCCCAGGCTGGGGACGAAGCCACATCATCTACAGGAGGCACAGGGTAGCAGGGGAAAGCTGGTTTCCCATCAGCATCTCCACCATTTCCTCGTCCAACTCACCTTATCAAAGGTCACACAGTTACCTCCAAACTGGACTCCGAGCCCTCATCATCTCACCCCCCCTTCCTGCTGGAGCGGCAGAAAATAAATGCCTTACCTTATGCCATTAGTGCCTGTCTGGCTGCGCCAGAGAGACCGGCTGTACGTGAAGCTGTGCGGTGCTCAGCTTTGCCTGGATTTTATTTAGCGTTACTCTGGGACATCATCTCCCAGTGGAGCACAGACCTGGCCCAGGCAGGAGAGCTGCCCCCGCCACGCTCCCCCTCCCTGCTCCCACCCAAAGAAGGCAGGGGCGAGTCCTGCGCTTGGAGGACTATGGCCAAAAATGCCTCGTGGCAGAGGGGGCAGCCCCAGGTCAGGCATCGCGGCAGTGGATGGGTGCAACCAGTCCCCACAAAGGTACGGCGCCAGCTGAGTACAGGGAGCGGGTGCCCATCCCTGCAGCTTCTGTTCTGCTCTCTGGGACCAGCCAGGGTGGGCTGGTGCCTTGCCGCTCAGGGGAGGTTTAGATTGGATATTAGGAAAAATTTCTTTACTGAAAGAGTGGTCAAGCATTGAAACGGGCTGCCCAGAGAGGTGGTGGAGTCCCCATCCCTGGAGGCGTTCAAAAAATAGGCAGACGTGGCACTTTGGGACATGGTTTAGTGGGCATGGTTGTGTTGGGTTGATGGTTGGACTGATGGTCTTAGAGATCCTTTCCAACCTTAATGATTCCTAGTTTTACTTTCATTAAAAAATAATCCAGCCACCAAGCCAGGAAACATGAAATTAATTATTATTCTCCCCTTAATTCTCCCCTTAATTGGTTTAGTGGTAGACTTGGTAGTATTAGGTTAATGGCTGGACTTGATCTTAAAGGTCTTTTCCAACCTAAATGATTCTATGGTTCTTAGTGCAGCAGCTTGCTCCAAAATTACCTGCTCCTGCTCACAGTCCTCTGCACCATCTCTGGGCCCAACAGCGTAGCAACAAGGATGAAGCTTTCACATGGGCCTGAAGGTGCAGAGAGTCTGTTTTTCACTTGCTTTAATAAGAAAACCTTTCCCTGTGACACTCCCATCAGCAGCAGAGAGACAAACCTGTGCCACTCAGTAGGACCAACAGGGTGAGGCCGAGGAGGGAGGGACAGTCCTCTGCACACCTGGACCGAGGCCGGGCCCACCCACGCGTTTACACTGGTGCGAGCACCGGCTGCCAG